TATGAAGAGTTAGTTCTTCTTTCTTTTCATCATTGAGGTTTACAAGCATAGGCGGCGGAGCCACGAGGCCTGGGTAGGCACGAGCCTACCCTAGGTTGGAGAGGTAAAGGCTTGGGTAGGCTCAGGTAAAGGCTTGGGTAGGCTCAGATAAAGGCTTGGGTAGGCTCAAACCAGTACAGATAAAGGCTTGACTAGGCTCAATTTAATGTAAAAATTTTCTAATATTATTGATTTTCGTGTTCTCCTGATAGATGACGCGTTACTGCAAGGCCAGTCCACATTTTATCTATTATAAACTCGTGTTCAGTGGCATACTAATTGGTTTTTGTTGACGTCTATATCTACGTCGAATTCTTTATTTTCAATATAATATAAGATAATTTAACTGCTGTTCTAAACTTCTATTCAAAATAACCACAGACGGCGGAGCCATTAGGCCTGAATAGACTCAAGCCTACCCTACGTTGATGGAGAGTAGGTTTCGGTAGTCTGAAACTAGGACAGACCAAGGCTAGGATTGACTCAGTTAAATATAAACGTTTACTCTTATTGTTTAGTCTTCACATTCGTTTGACAGATAACGCATTTTTACAAGGAGTCCATATTTTTTCTACTGCTAACTCGCATCCAGTGAGGTAGTGATTAGTCTTCGTTGGCATCTATATCGTCATCGGATTCTTGGTTCTTAATATAAGACGGATGAATTGTTTTTTGTAGATTTCTATTTAAAATAACATTTGAATTTTAGGCACTTGAATAACATTACTCCTTTCGTATGCCGATACCAGCTAGATAAAATCAGATTATGTCTTTCTGTCACAATAAAACAACAAACGGCTAAGAACAGTTTTGATGAAAATTCATCTTCTATTGAACTTGTATCGATCAGTTCAAACGATAGTTAAGGTGAAACAGGATTATATGCAAAAATGTCATTGTTAAAACTATAAAATCTTGACATCAACTTGATTAAGCATCTATTCTGATTTCCTTTCAAAGAATCAAGATAGAAAAAATATTTTGGTGTTGAATAGCATTATTTCTTCTTAGACTTCTCTTTTATTGCCTTTTAAACAGTCTTTTTAAGTTACTTCGTTAGTACCTGTTGTGTCCGGAAACAATAACGCATTAGATAGTTATCACACTTATAAAGAATTAAAATCTATCAACAAAAACCTATAACGCTCAACATTATAAACAAATGAAGAAAACTATTTTTCGAATCGCTCCCATCCATGTAAATATATTCGAGTTGAAATAAGATTAAAATCGATTATAATCATACGACCTGAATCAATTTTAAATCATTTTTTACCTGATATTAATTGAAAATAACCGAAAAAAAAGCCAAATTTCATTGATTATTACGATTAGTTCCATTTAAAATCGATAAAAGTTTCATAAAAAAAAAGATTTTTCTTTTTGATAAATGAAAAAGTCTTCACGCGAATTTTACCGGTTTGCATCAATCTTATTAATTTTTTTATAACGTTTTAGCGAGAACGAATCGTAATAATCAATGAAATTTTGATTTTTTCGGTTATTTTCAACAAAAATCGGTTAAAAAACGATTAAAAATTGATCAAAATCGTAGGATGACAATCCATTTTTTATCGGCTATTACCCGATTTTAATCTGATTTCA